TGTCCTGCAGATAACTTAGGGCCGAGCCATGTCAAACTTTATAGGTCAGCACCAGTGCTTTAAATTGCACCCAGAAGCGTATTAGTAACCAGTATAGGACCCCCAGCACTGGTGTAATGGGTTTCCACTGGCAAATACCAGGTAACTCACAGGCTGCTGCACTTTGAACCAACTATCGCTTCTCAGTGGTCTTTCAAGGCAACCCTGTGTAGAGTGTGTTGCAGTAATCTAGAGAGGTGGAAAGAAGGGTGTGAGTTACTGTAGGAAGATCCTCCCCGCAACACCCAGGTAGGGCCACAACTGGCCCACCAACCAAAGTTGGATGAAGGTCCCCTCGGCTGCAGCCTCCATCTGCTGTTCTAGCAGGAGGCAGGAGTCCAGGAGGACCTCCAAGATGCAAATCTGCTCCTTCAGGGATAGCATCACCCTGTCAAGAGACACTACTGGGGCAGACAGAGAACCCCCAATGGGCAAATAGTGGTTTGATCCTTTAATTTCATTTCCAGCGTAAGGATAGCCAAGCCACGAATGATCCCCTAGTCCTTTCCCTTCCCATTTTGCTCTCTCTTCCTCCTCCCCATGTTCTCATCTCTCAGCTCCACGAATAGTTGTTTCCTCTTGCAGTTACCTTTCAGACATTTGGTGTTACAGCTGCATATTTGTTTTTCTCTAGAGGGAGGCCAAACATTGATGCGTGGCTGCAGTTTGGAGAAGCTTTGTTGGGAGAAGCCACAGTTGCTGGGCCTGGACCGAAATTCTTCTATCCGCTGCTGCCCTGGCTCTCTCTGCAACAGAAGTGTGGCCCCAGCTGGAGGTGCTGCATTCATCCTTCTGCTCCTGCTTTTTGGGCTGCTCTGATAAGAGTCTAGACAGCCCAACTTTCAGGGAAACAGACGAATGCTGCAGAGCAGAAAGGCCAGCGTCACAAGGACTGATGTGCTGCAGCCATGTATTATATCTCTTGCCTGCCTTTTGCATCACAGCATCCAGCGTGACCAGTGTTGCACATCAGGTTGTTTTAATTGCTCCAGCCTATATGACCACAACTTTAGTGATTCATCCCAGTGTCCTTAAGGAGGAAGTTTCAAAGAACCAGGCTCAGTGGCCTGTGCAAGAAAGAGGGCTCTGTTTACGAACAAAGGAAGGTGAGTGTAGGCACGCCAGCAGGGTGGCATCTGGGCAGACGTTACAGTCCTGAAATATTATCAGCCTCCTCCTGCAAAGAATCATATAGCCTTGCAGCTTCTCAAGGCTGACTCCTGCCAAGTGACCACAAAATCTTTGCTTCCTTGCCTTCACAGGGATGAAAAAAGTGTTTCCTTTGCCCTTACAGCATCAGCGGTAAGGTATGGCACCATAGGTATTAGTTACGCAAGACTTTTAAGTTAGCTCTCATGCCTAAATGGAAATGGATGTTTTGCATAAGCAAAATGTCCCCAACTGGTAGGTACGATCTCCTTGTTGCTGGGGCGCGCCACTCCCCCTATTTTCCTTGGGATGCTAAGCATCGTTTCAAGCCATTGCCACTGCAATCTTCCAAGTGCTGCTGCAAGTTCTCTGGAGGACATGGTTCTCCAGTGTGGAACTGGAGATGGCTGTCCCTGCCCTGCCCTGCCTGTGGACTTCAAGATAGTGGACTTTATGATCCTGCATCATCACCAGAATTGTCCAACGGAGTTTCCTCCAGGCTTCAAAGACAACAAATTGGGGAAGGCTGCCCCAAAACATTTTGTACACACTGAACTGATGCAGTTTTGGCCAACCCCACTGCAGGGAACCAGAGTGGTCAAATCACACTCCTTGCATTTCACTGCACAAATACTGGTTGGATCTACCTCTGAATGGAGCAGAAGTGGCTACTATATGCTGGGATGGGCAATTAATACGGGGCCATGGGAGAATCTCCTGCTATGGATCTCCAGGTTGCGGAGGCTGACTGATGGCTGTGATTTTTGCCTTTCTCCTGAGTGCTTCTCTGGTGTAGAAATCTGCCAATGTCCTTGAACTCCCAGTCTGCAAAAGGATGTTCAGAAACATTCAATGTGAGGGATGC